GGAGTGAAGACAAGAGACCTGCCATAGCATCAGACCTGCAGCTCCTAAACAAGCCCTTCCCCATGCAGAGCCCTCCTGCAGGGTACTACATGAGGCCAACTTGTTCTTACATAGCAGGTTAGTCCTCACACTCACTTCAAACCTTCTCCTCCCCAGAGATCTAGGAGTGTAATGTCCCTTTGGTTCCTCAGCTAGAAACAGACATATTCCTAAGCCACCTTTGGCTGGGTGCTTGGATGAAGATCAGCACAATAAAGCACTCAGGTTAATTCCTTTTCATGCCTCTGCACCACTGCCAGTACTGAGCAATGATTCCTCCTCCTCCATAGAACAAGAGAAGTTACAGGAACTGCTACAGACGATCTTCAATCTTTTCACCTCCACAGCGTTGGCCATTTCTGTTGTTCTGATCTCAAACAGCAGCATTACTACCACTGACGCTGAAAGACTGAAGAGGAGATCATCTGGTCTGCCTGGAAACACTGTTATCCCAGCAGGAACTCCATGACAAGGGCTATATCCCTCCGGCATGCAAAGCAGGGACACCAACCTACCTTGAGCTGCTTTTCATCATCATCCCTGTGAGAATCCTTCTGGAAGTCTAAGGCATAGCTTGTGCTTATTCTTGCATCTGACATGGAACAAATCCTTCAAGGTCCAAGGAGCACATCAGGCAGCTCTGCTGGAAAACTCAAAGCATGATGCTGAGAGAGCAGGAGACTGGGACAAGAGCCCTTGTCCTCTCTAGTGACAGAAACACTTCATCAGAGCATACAGAACAGAGGGCTGGGATGACTCTGCCTTCTTCCTGGGATGCTGCTGTCCTGCTCACTGGACCATTCAGTGTGGAGCAGCAGGAAAGACAGGTTTGCGTGCATAAGAATGAAGGTGCATCGTCTGCAGGTTTTCAGTTCTGTCTAGAACCTACTCGTGACCCAGCTAACAAGGAGACTGGCATTCCCTGTCCTTACACCATTGGGGCAGAAGGTGTTTCAGCATGTAGTAGGCAAAACTGGCTATTCCCTGCAAAACTACTGCCCACAACCTAGGGACACGCAAGGCCCTAAAGAGGAGCTTTGGCTCAAGCTAGGTCTGCTCCAGCACAGCAGAGAAGGAACATTCAGCATCCATGCAAGTACCGACCCACTCGAGTTGCACACCAGCTACATTTGCCACCATTTCTGAGCCTCATCGTACACATCACACCTGTATATTCCTTATTCCTGGAGCACAGGGGTCCAATTTACTACTGGCCTTAACCATAAATTAGTTAAAACAAAGAACAGGCCGTGCTAATGTCAATGTAACTGCTACCCAGCTTCACCTCATGGAAATCCCAGGAAGAATTTAGCTCTCATGCAATCAGGTCCAAAGGGATCTAAATCCCAGCATATTACAGTTGCAGAGAAGAAGAATGAAAACAAGGAGCTGAAGAGAGAGAACCCAAGTAGGAAAACAGCTCTTGCAAATGAGGGGATGTTTGTACAACCCCATTAGCACAGTACAGAGGGAAGGCAATGGGGATGCCGGCTGGTCCTTGTAAAGCAATTGGCTTAAGCAGGCACTTGTCAGCTGGAGGAGATTGGATTTTAAACCCCCATTCCCTCAGGCACAAGCTCTGTGCCAGCCTGGCACCTGCAGCCTATGGCAGGGCTGGCTGCCACAGCAGCACAAGGTCTCCCAGCCAACTCCAGAGTATCCATAAATCCTGAAGAGAGGTACAGGGCTGGCAGGCTCTCAGCTGGAGAGGTGTTCAGATGCAATAGTGCAGTTGTTTCAGCTGGAAGGCACCCAGCATCATCAGTCCTGCCCCATCGTCACATCAGCATCCCAACTCACACCAGTACAAAGCTGATGTGGGGACAGCACCATTTTAGCCTAGACACATGGTAACCCAAGTTTAGAGACCTACCATTGCCTGGGTTGTTTCATTCATCTCGGCAGTGCCTGACTGACCTTCCACATCCCCATCTCCTTTTCCCAAGGAGGCTGTTTGCTGCCCTTTGCAGGCAGCACCGGAGGCATTAGCTTGTGGCACAGGATGCACCAGGACCAGCTCAGGTAGGGCCTCGTCAGCATTCAGCTCCCAGGGATGAGGGGAAGGTCTTATTATAGCCTGCTGCACTTTTGCTAGCAGCCCCAGGAGCAGAACAGTTACCTTGGGGTACCAGCTCACACCAGGCAGCAGATACAGCCAGGATCAAAGATGCCTTTCCTCCTCCCACCCCACAATGCTTTCTGAAAAGACAAGGAATCTGCCCTCACTTATCTCCAGCTATTTATTCCCGGCACGAAGAGGATGACAAGGATATAAACCTGTTGGGAGTGACATGGATGGCTGCAAGGAGTGACAAATGCTTCACGTGTCTCTAAACTGCTCGGGCATTTGCACGTGTGGCTGCATCCCTGCCTCCCTGCTGGGTACAGCCTCTGCAGAGCTGAGCGCCTTCACAAGCTGTGAGCCTGCTGCTTCCCCCCCTTGCAGTCAGCGGGGACAGCAACAGCATGAAGAGCTTTTGTGACAGCAGGTGTTAGGAAGTGACCCCTCACTTGAAGCAGCCCATCGTTGAGCTGCTGAACCTCATTATATTTGATCATCTTCACAGCTGAAGCAAAACCTGCACAGAGAAGCAGGCCTCAGATCAGGTCTGCCCCTGCTCTTCTGGGGTTTGAAGCCACTTGGGGATTCCTAGAGCATCTCTGAGTGTCTGCCTGGTTTCTCAGTTACTGCTTTGCCCCACAACTTGTAAACGAAAGGTTTAAATGCCTGCGGGCAAGCAGCCCGATTAAAGCACATGGTGTTCTGGCACCATGATATACCCACATCCACCTCCAAATCAGCCACTTGCCAGGCCAGATGGCAATTCCTACCTCTGCGCTCACCCTAATTCACTGGATCACTACAGCAGCTTCCAGCTGATGGCTGGGACAAGTCATAGCTCAAGATGATGCTGGTGCTGGCCCTATATGTTTTATAAACACAGGGAGTGCAGCTGTAAAAGCTGCAATCTTGTAAGGGTGGCAAAGTCACTTTATGCTCGCAGAGCACATTCCCCTCACACACAGATGTGTTAACATCAGCTTTATGGCAATAGTAATACTTAGCTTTCCAGCAGCATCTCTTACCCAGAATCTCAGTCTGTTTTATGAATATGATGGACCAGAGGCTCAGAGCCACTCAGCAGCCCTCTGGGAGCATTCACAGGGGCTAACTGCAGCTAAGGAAGCCAAACTCTGCAGTCAGAGACTGAAGCTGAGGCAGGACTGGTGCAAATCATTCCCTGTAGAGGCTTGTCTCTTCAGGGCCATTTGGAAAAAATCAGCATGAGCAAATAACTACCTTTAGATTCCCAAATTTCAACTCCTCAGAGAGCTTCTCGCACTGGCGCTTCAATTCACCAAGTTCTTCTCCAGCCAAGTTTTTCCTCCATCCCATAGCCTGCAAGCCATGAAACCTTCCTGCGGCACTCTTATGCTAAAACGAGGACTAAACAGGGAGCCCCACACAACTTTACCTTTGGGAAGGTTTAACTACCCAAGCTTCACACTTCTTTATCGAAACAAAAGAGTTCACAGAGCGTTTAGAACTCAAACAGGACACAAAGGGTCCCTAGAAAGGGTTTGCACCCCAGTACAGAAGAGGCAACACTGCCACCCGAAGGACTATGCCACTAATGAAGCCCCTCCAACTCTGGCCAGCAGTGACTGAACTCATCTTTCAGCAGGTGAAAGCCGGGTGAGGGCAGGTTCTGCAGGAGAAGATCCTGGAGTTTTACAGTTTCATGTGACCACAGGGAGCCTTGCAAACAGCCTGCATTTCCCACTGGAGTTACACTTCCCTTCAGTAGGACTCGATGGTCGGGATTTGCAGAGCCAGAAGCAACACCCAGCTCTCCAAAGACTATAGAGGAATAGATCCCCCCTTATTCCAAGTCAGTCAAAGGGGAAATAAAAGCCAACCCATCTTCCTAACAACGATTTTCAATGCCATTAGTCACCCTTTTCCCATATACCCTTCCCCACCTGAAACCCACTTTATAATTCACACAATACCAGCCTCTTAATTCTTATTCCTGGCAAGACCATTTCCCTCACTATCATGTAAATGAGCCTCCCTGGAGCTCTTAAGCATTATTATACATCATGGTAGTTGTATTACTCTCAGCACTACAAATGCAGTCCAGGACTCAATTACTATTCACAGATGAACAAAGTATACAATGCATTTACTGAAGCTGTGGCTGCTTAAGGTATAGAGCCTCGAGAGTTATGTGCATTTATTCATGAAGTGCCCTGAAGGAGAAAATGCAGGTCCCCACCTTTACTGTCCTTCAAAAGGCAATTAAAACCTGTCAGTAAGTGCCACACTTGCACACAACATTCATCTCAACGGTTCCATCCGCAGCTGCTGTTCTGCAACATGAGCACCCTTTGATTATTGCTTAAAGGGCTACAAAAATCAAAATCTGGCTCCTAAAATCAAGTACCTAAATTCTGCTTCCTAAGGGGCTTCTGAAAGGCCAAGAAAGAAACTGAAGATTCCCTCTGGAGTCTTATTTGGAGGCTTCTATAGGTATTTCTCATGTTTTACTCGATTCCTATAGCTGAGCCTTAACCTAGGGGCTGTTACTTACCTGCCATTGTAGTCATAATTACAGCTACTAACGGCAAGGAAGCAGTTGTCACGACCTACAAAAGAGTTCCAACCTCCCTAGCACTCAGGCTTGCAAGCTTCCTTGGCACACCGGTCCTTGTCTCTGCAAGCACAAAGAACAAGGAGCATGAATTAAGACAAGGTTTCTCCATCCCAGAAAAGGCTGCAGAGATGCAACAGGATCTCCATTTGTGACAAATCCCAAACTCCCTCTCTGCAAGAAAGCAGCCTAAAGGAAAAGGTCCTTCCACCAGCCATTTCAGCCTCCTCTATGGACCTCCACAAAGACCCTGACATCTTTGTTGCAGTTCCAGCAGAGGTAGCAGAAATAGCATGCAGCATGCCTCCCAAATTCCCTACAGGACCAGGACTTCATTAAAGGCTCTGCACAAGTGACTAATCTGTATTCAAACTGGAAACTGAAAAGCAAGGGCATAAGCTTGTCACCCACACAGAATACATTGTTAAGCCAAGCGTTTGGAAGCTTCCCAACTTATAACTTCTATGGACAATAGGGAGAGTCAAGGGAGTTAGAAATAAGAAGAGTCTCACTGGTTTTTCACTAGATTTACATGGAACACTCAGCTCAGTGCTCACAAGAAAGAAGCAAGGATTGAGAGGGAAGAGTGACTCCACCAAACTCAGCCTCCCGAGTCCTAAGGAAAGGAGCTCTGTCACATTGCCCACACTGGAGCAGACTAAGACTGAAAACGGAGCTGCATGCATGGCAAGTTGCTTTTAAGTAAATATAAATAGGCCCAAGAACCAGAGCAGCAATGTACCATGGGCAAAACCTTTCACCTGTGGCTTGTCGGGAATCCTGTTCTTAGTCACTGCTCCAACCCAAACCCCTTCTGACAGGAAGCGGGGTAATTTCACTGTATTTCTGGGGAGCAGAGCAGTCAGTGCACAGTTTACATCTGCAGAAAGGTGATCTGGAAGCTGCAGGGTATCATTTCTGACCAACAGCCAAAGCAACCTCACAGCCTGCGGTGAAAGCTGCAAAAGAGGGGGCACAAATCAGCACAGAGCTCACTTACTTGGCACAAAGTGCTCTCTCAGTTACACAAGAGCTTCATCTATCCAAGCCTGTTATTTTAGTGCACTTTGCAGTCCCTTCTAGATGACAGGATGCTTTCCACTTGGAGTAGTTTCTACCTCATAAAAACCAGGCAGTATTTCACAGATTTCTATACATTTGCCTATTTATGCACAAGCAACTCTTCTTTGAGGTGAAATTTGATTTTCCTGGCTGGCTAGAACTGCACGTCAGTACTGGCTTTTTGTCCTACAAGCTGTATTGATTTTGCACCCTGATCTATGGCTGGCTTTAGCATATGGTAATTCAATCTAAAGTCCATTTTTGAGATGTCAGTCTCCCCTTCTCCAGCAGAGTAACTGCTTACACTGCATAACGCTTTATCTGCACATAGGCTGGTTGCTTAGCACAAATACTTGTGGCTTAGGGAAGGATTAAGTTCCTGACAGGTACACAGGATTTATTTCAATGTATGTTTGCAAATCAGAACAAAAGAGTCTTTAAACTCATTTCACCAAATAAGCCTCAATTATGGCTCACATGAAGAAGAGGAAGAGTTACTGTCATGGCAAAACCTTTGATCTCCGTTCCAGGCCTATCTGTGTTAAGAACACACACGGCAAGTCCACTTCATCAGCAGTTTCACACAGGGACTCCATAAACCTGTAAGTTGAAGAGCTAAAATCAAGCACCTTGCACCTTTTACTCCTCACCCTGCACACAGGTGGAAGCTAAAGCTAGAATTCAGCAGGCACATTGAGTTCACAGAACTGCAAGGCTCAAGGTCTGAGCAGAGCTGTCTCTAATAACACTTGGAACATACTTTTTCACCAGCCATATCTTGGCATTTACCAGTTTTAGTATCTTCACTTCATGCCTCAGCTAAGGTTAGTCACACTTGAGCTTCCAATCCTTGAACAGTGCTCTCATGCTTACACTTAAACTGAATATACTGACTTTTGCCCAGTACAACTTAACCAGCAACAGGGAACTTGTTTTCTCTCCTGGACAAGAAGAGCCTCCTGTCTTCCACTCTCCTGCCTGACTTCAAACTGCTCATTCTTAGCATCACTCCACAGCCACAGGACACATTTCTATGAGCCATCTGTCTGCCTACCTGCTTGCTCACTTGACCCTGTCCAGTCTTCAAACAACCCAGACCTCCCTTTTTCACAAAGAGGAGCCCTACTTCCATCTGAAACAAAAGCAGACACGTTAGAGAGCTCAGCAAGGCAGAGACACCCGCACAAAGATACACACCACCCACAGAACTACCAGCAAATATCGCTATCAAATCAATACATTCTTACTTCCAAGACACTCTCCTGTTTTGCAGATCCTCTCCTCTATAGGGCAAGCCAGCTCATCACAGCCAATCCTACCAGCTCAGAACTACTTCAGTAGAAGCTTTTACCCCCTCACACTACCCCAGATGCCTCAAGCAAGCAGTAAAACTCTTAAAAGTCCAACTAAGGCTTGCAACCCCCCCATGCACTAAAATAATGAGTTTCCAACAAAAAAAAAGACAACTTCTTAACTGCACACACAGATCCGGTCCCTTCCATACCAGCTGCTGGTTGATGCTGCCCCTCATCACACAAAACAGAGCTTAGCCGCACGCAGCTGCTGCTCAGAACAATCTCTTTAACAACTGTGTATAAACTACATGAAGTGCTTGTTCTTTAAAGGGCAGTTACAGGTGAGGAGTCGTTGAATTAGCAGCTAAGTATGTGTCTGTTGCTTTAAATGGTGCCTGCAAAGCTCTGCTTTCTTGAGTTGGAATGGGATGCTTTCAGTTAGAAAAGCTGAAAAATACGGGGAAGAGGCATTCCAGGGCTTTCTGAGGTGTCTGGGGATGTCTTCACTAACCAGTCACTGCAGGAGACTTCAACCATTCGTTTAGAGCTGTTTCAGTCAAGCCACTGTGTTGTTCGAGCAGTGCTGTGTAACTGGGCGCCCTGTGCTGCCTCTGAACCCATCCTGAACTGAGGCCGGAGCTCACAGTGACCTACCACGTTTGATGCTCAGTGTCTGTAGATTAGTTAAGCGGAAAGAAGCTCTTTCCTGCAAACAATGTGAGATGGAAAGGCGAGCTTGGTGTTCGATGATAACTGATCAGTTAGCTTTAAAAGCTTTGTCACCATATTCTCCCCTTGTTTCCACACTGACCTCAAAGCCAGTTTTTCTCTGCTCTGGGAATGACAGCCCTTTCATTTTACCTTTTGAAGCGCTATTCACCCTACCAACTCTCCTTCCCAGAGGGGCTTGGCAGTTGTGTCATTATTTCTCCTAAGCCAGCTTTCATTTGGTTTGCTAGAGAAGGGGAAAGGCATCCGGGCTCCTTTGTGCCTTTGTTCTGGCAATTACTCTTGTGCTCAGTTAATTGGGAGCCTTTGTGTTTCTGGGCTCCTCCCATCCGACTGTTTCTAGTGGTCCTTTCACCAATGCATTCCCCATTAGAGTTTTAATCTCTTTCTTCAGATTCAGTTTCAATAGCAGCAGATGAAGTGGGTGAAGCATCAGAAGGATGTGAAAGTTGGCAACTGAAAGTCCGAGATAGCGGTGCTGTCCTCGGGAGGCCATTCACAGTGCAGGTCCCTGTTCACTAGCTGTGCTTCCCTCCCTCTGTTCTTCCTCTACCTTTAATATTATCTAGAACAGCGAGCTGGCTCTTTCCTCTCTTCCCTCAGCACCGTTTGTGCTTCCCAATCCTTTGACAAGTGGTTGTTATTACCCCCTCTGTGCAATCTGTCTTCCTTGGTGTCTCCTTTCTTGCTGCAGCCGCTTCTGCATACTCTGTAACGTTTCTTTTATCTGCAAAGATCCTATGTCCCTCTTCTGCGTGACAACATGCAGCTTTACTGTTGGTTTTGCCTCTTGTAAAAAGCATGGCTGATTTTACTGCACCAAAATAGAACCGTTGGTACCATTCTGGCCTGGTTGGAGTAGATCGCGAACTTCCTATTGCTTGAAGACTGTCAGCTTAGCTTATTTTGTTAACTTCAAGTCTTGATTCTGGGCGAGTACAGCCCAACCTTTCTTATCACAAGAGTGTTTTCTACCTGATAGCAGAATCTTCTGTATCATGCCTGTTTCCACCTCTGCTGCAGCGGTTTTGTTCTGAACAGTGAATGAATGGCTTCAAAGAGATGCAATGAACTTCCTTCGTTGTGACAGCGCTGAGAAGAGCAGCCGCTTCCTCAGCCTCCTTCCCTGAAGCTGTCACTTCCAGGTACGTGGAATCCAAAGCTGTGTGTTATGGTGCATATACACAGTCCTGCCTAATTGCTTCATACTTCTCTCTGTTCCCCGCTGCTCTTCCTGCTGAGAGGCTCTTCCTGCAGGATCATTTTCAGATGCTGCTTATGAACAAGAACTGTCATCTCTGGGCATGACACAGGAGCAATTCTGCAACAGAGTCAGTGATAGATGTGTTTGTGCTGAATAACTCCTATTTTTCATTAGGATCTGGGACTCTGCAGGCTATGGAATGATTTCCAATGTTAGTGACTCAGAGGGATCACTGTATTTGTAGGCATTCTCTTTGGTCTTTCTTTTAAAATCACTGGCATAATTCAGTTGGGTGTTTTGCTCTGTAAAGCTTACTAGAGCCATCAATCATTCATGAATTGCCTTGCATTTTGTACTGGATGGTAATAACTGTAGTTGGGGAAAAGCAAAATAAAGCACTGTCAGTTCATGTAATCCCCTATCACTTTAGGGGCTACCTGAGAAGATGTTTCTATTGCTGCAAGTGGTGGTTGCCCGTTATCAAGGTGATACTGGTTGGATGTGCAGCTCTCCAGAGAACTCACTGCAGCTTTCATAGGGCAAGTGCCACCCTGGCTCTGGTGTAAATCATGTGTATCATCTCTTGTACTAAAGCAAGTTGTGACACTTCAGCAGGAGTGAGCAGGCGCTGGTAGGCTCTAGCCTGACAGAAATGGCAATGCCTCCAGCTTGATTTCATGCATTCAAGCACTGCAGTCCTAAACTCAGTTACATTTTAGAGCTCAATAGTAGGACGCTGTGGGGTTTCTGCTGGATGTGTTACTGCTGCTGGAGCACAGAGTGCATTTATGTCCATCACGGGGATTTTAGGATTCCTCTTTGGGTTTATTACCATTTGACATTGGAACACAGTGGTTCAGTAGTTTCCCAAGAATACATTGAGCATGTGCTCATCCAGTAAGGAATATTCCCCCATCATAAATCACAAGCAGCAAAGGCTTGGTCACAGCCTAGCTACCCAGGAGCACCATATACAAGAATATAGGAGTCTGAGCTCTTGATTTTTCTTCTTGTTCTGACTTGAGTTAAGCATATGAAGGATACAACCACTTGATCATGAAACCAGTGGCTGTCGAATTCAGTGCTGCTGTGAAGAGATGCGCTTGTTTTGACTAACCTGTGTTAGACCAAATTTAGAAGAAGCAACAATCTGGCAAGGTAAACATGTTGGAGGGATGGGACAATACTAGAAGGCTGCTGGGCTCTTCAGCTTGCTAGAAGCTGCTTGATCAGGTAGTGATTCCTATCACCATGTTGGGTCTCAATGTACCTGAGTTCTGAGGGTGCAGGCTCTGCAGCAACTGAGTGACAACCACATTTAAGGGTCTATCACTTAGCTCCTTGCTCTCTAAGCTCTACAACTTGGTAGAATGGTATTTACCATGTAGGTAATCACTCTAAGTGAGGGGAAAATGGGCTTTCTGAATTAGTAGTAATCATTACGGAAGATAGAAGGCACAAGATGTTTTCTTGGCAGCATTAGGATTTTTATCAACTTTTTGATTGGGTTAATTTGAAGTGACAGCTGGTTGGAGTTTTTAAATGGATTGGAATATAGGTCCATCAATCTGAAATCAAGCAATGTAAATGCATCTGCAGTAGTTACCTTAAAATATCCTGCTCCTGTGGTTGCAAAGTGGCAGTTAACAGAGGAACAGCAGCCCTTGGAGAGGCAGGAGATGGATCCAGGCAAGTGGGATGTTCTGGGAAGTGTAATTCATGGAGTTGTACAGGTCTTAGCCATCATATGCTGAGTCTGACTCTCCAGCCCTGAAATGAGTGGTAAGATAATAGAAGGGATTTCAGCCTCATCGCAGAGGAGAGCTTGTGTATTGCCTTGTCTTTGAAACTTGGGAACTTGACTAGGGCTCTTCTTAGCCTGGAAGAAGAATTATTCCCCAAATCTGGAAATATACATAATTATTACTTCCAAATGTCACTGCATCAGTATCCTATTCCCAGCTTGAGGCTTGTCGTCCTTTCTACGGACTACATAGGCTGCTATCTCACTGATGGAGACAACTTCTTTATGGCCCTTCTTGACACTTGACAGCTGCTAAGAGGAGAGGAGTCTGAAATTTGGGATAAAGCTGTTTTCTGACACAGCACCACTGCCCTCTCAGCAGCGAAAGGGCAGGAACCTCACCTCAGGAGCATCTTTGTCCCTGCAGAAGCAGCTCTTAATTAAATGTAGGTCACAGCACAGTGACCACACCGGTGGTGGAGCTGCTTAGTTGTGGCTGTATCTTGGGCAGGCAGTTTAACCTCTTCTCGACCCCCAAAAATGGCCTTAATGTGTTCTTAATCCAGCTGTGAGATTCTGCCTTGCTGAAAGATGGAGTTTTGCCTTTCCAGGGTCAGAGCTCAAACTGGAGTATTGGTGTCCATAAGCCTGTGGATGAAAAGGAGCCAAACAGAAGGAGCTAAACAGAGCTTTGGGTCAGTATGCATCATTTCTCATCCTGCATGCACATGGAAGTTGGCCTGGCATGCTGAACTGTATAAACAGATTATCCCCTAAACTAAACAGCCTGTTGCAATCGACTGCATGATTACAGATGCAGCTTTAGATGGGTTGGGAAACTTAAGAGCAAGCTGGAGAGCTGTAAGACAAATTCATCCATATAACCATTCATACTGTGCAAGAAATCATACCCAAACTGAGCTCTGTAACACATAGGAGTCTATTTTTAAGCCTGACTTGGCATCCTGAAATGCTCTAGTGAATGAACAAATGCTGATGGACTGCCATCAGTGTTGTATAGAAATAAGTGTAATTAGGGAGAAACAAATAAATAATAAAGAAGCCTAACTGCATTTAGCACTTCCTTTATTGTCAGCAGTAGGATGTATATTCCCTTAACAGATTTAGCAACTGCACTGGTAGGTGGTGATTTGTATTGCTGCCAACATCATTCACTTAGATGAGGATGATCTTGATGGGTGTTTGCAATTGTTCTCCAGAGGCAGCTTCTCCAACAATTATAAGACGATCCCAGTTGGATTAAATGAGTCAGTTGTGTGCAATAGCATTCTGAGTGTCTTACCAGATCTCAGACAGCTCATTTTGTTCGTCCACTCTGCCCCACTGTATGAAATGGCCACGCTGTTGTATATGTTTTCCCATGGTATCTTATATCCACCATGCAGAAGGCAATAGCTGCTTTCCCAGATGGAGACCTACCTACTTGTTGTGCGTTTAGGCTTGGGAACAACAGGAATCATCTGCCAGCAATGCTGCTTCCAAGTGCTGCTGACTGCTGAACTGGAACAGAGGAGGGGCCCTGAACTGGTAAGTGCTCTTAGGAACGCTCGGGATTTAACCAACTGATGTCATTTTCTGTACAAGTCTGTTCTCTGCTGGCCTGAGACACGCAGGCAGTGTCTGTGCTCTGTTCCTGTTGCAGATCATGCAGTGGGAAAGATGCAGCTGCTTATGATGGGTGTCACTGAACGGTCTCTCGGCACCTGCCTTGCCATGCCTGCTCAATGAACTGATTTCTGGAGGAGAAAGGGGGTTCACACCAACTGTGTAGCCTTTTGTGTCCAGCTGCGGGCTGGGCTTTCCCCTTAGCCATACGTTGGCCTTCTGCATTATGCTTTATGCTTCTGCATCATGTGTGTCTCGTTGCTCATAAATAGCATTGCCAATGTCACCTGCCTGGACTGGATGTCCTCCCCAGTGACTTGAGCCACTTCCTCCTGATGATAGATGTGTGATGTAACAGGGCTGATTCTGTTCTGTCTCCTGTTACTGTAACTGTAAATACCTCACGTGTGTGCTGAAAGCTGAAGATATGACTGAGTTTAAAATGAATAGATTTCCAGACCACCAGTGAAGTTCCTTAATGCGCCGAGCCCTGTACTACTGAGACTCAGTTACAGGCACTTAGATACTCAGCAGTGTTGCAGCTTTAATGTGAACTCAGTGGTTTGAAGGCCAGGGTTAGCTTGAGTGTCCTGAAAACCAGTGTGGGACCTGAGGGAACCTGAGCCCTGCGGCTGACACTCCACTTGGAGTGTTTTCATCCTCAGTCATCCCAGTAACAACAGTGTAGTGTTTCTTCTGCGATGCTGTAATGAGATCTAAGCAGTCCCATTGGATAATGGATGAGGGTAGAAAAGATCAGTCCAAAAGCTGAGCTAATGCGGCTCTCCTGCAATTACCGTGGCATCTATGCGGTGATGGAACAACAAAGTCCTTGGTAATCACTGCAATAAGGTGAGAAAAGGTCTTGCTCTCTAATTGAGGCTGTCAAACCTGCGCCTTGACTTTGTAACTTGAAAAGATGCTTGCAGCTTGCATTCTCCAAAGCCTTTTGAACCACATGCTCTCAAGCTTAATTTCTGTTGAAAGCAGGCTCTTCCTTGAAAAAGATCTTCTTTCACTTAATGTGCTGCTAAATCATCTCAAAGGCGTTTCATCTATTTGCTAAGCCTCTTCATGCTCAGTCCAGTTCATCACCACGCTGTCACCCATAATTGTCACTGGTGTAAAGAGACAGTGATGTCTGCTTTCACCCCTGCCCTTCCTCCAGCCAGACCTGGCTTCCAAGCTTTGTCAGGTCTTAAGTGAGCTATGTGTATGAAAACATCCTGGGGACTTGAACAGAGGAGTGAGAGCAGGGTCTGATATGAGCTCTGTGAGATGAAAAAGGCAGAATCTTATCTCGGAGCTGTTAAAGAATGAACCGAGGTCAAGACCTAAGGCAGACATCTCACAGCAAAGGTGAGCAGTGGGGCTCGGTTTGCAATTTAATCAAGCTCTTGGACTTCTTCTGTCTTATTGAAAGCTCTGGAATATTGATTATGGTCACTAAATTCTGGGTACATGGGCACACTTGGAGGAAGAGGTGGAGTGAGAAGGCATGGGAGCTGGGAGATGATTCTCTGCTGACCCAGCCTCCTCATAGTGCCTGTGGGCAACCTGGTTGGCTGCGTGGCAAGGAACTCAGCTGCAGTCCCCTGGCAGGTGACCAGGCCCTGCTTGGGGCTGTCAAATCCATCTGGATCTCTCCATATGCTGCTGGAACAGATGTGCTTTCAGGGGGCCTGCTGAGTCAAGCCATTAAGCTTTTGTCAAACCAAGCTAACCAGACAGGGTCAGTGTATCCTGCAGTGCTGGAAATGCAAAGAGTAAGGAAACGTGTAAAATGAGGCTTCTCTTGTTTGTTTTAGTTTTAACATGTCAAGACTCCTAAAGCAAAGTCACAGGATTTAAATAAAGTCCCAAACAGAGATGTGTAAACACTTTTCAGTGCCGTTACACGATATCCTGCCTGTGGTGGTGGTGGTGGTCTGTGTGATAGGCATGGTGTATATTCCTGTGCCACCTGCTATATAACAACCAAGGGGAAATGCTTGGTGAAGCACTGCTGTCATTAAGCACCTCTCAAAATTCAATGTTAGGGCAGTTCTGGAGTAGGTGAGTTCTCAAGCTGTTACTCACCCCACAAAGGGAAAACCCACGTTCCACTTCAAAACGTGTGCATTATCCAGGCTCGGGTAGCAGAACCTTTCCCAAAGGAACCAGGCAACTGGTTCTTCAGAAGTGGTTTGGGAATGGGGATGCTCGTGGGGCCCTGTTTATCTGTGTGGGGCAAATAAGTCTTGGTCTAGTCACCAGAAACTGCTTTGCTTCAGCCAAAGACCCATTTCTCCTATGTGAAGTACACTATGATATTGTAACTGATCCAACATCTAGGCATGTGGCTGTTGTGGTATTGAAAGTGTGGGGAGCAGACACAATAAAGCAGGATTTTTGCTGTTCTCTGAGACATCAAAGGTGTGTAACTGCTGCAGTGGTCAGTGCACTGAGCAGTCTCCTGTGTGAGCCTGAGACTGCACTGAAGTCAAAAACTGTGAAGCTGAGCCTGTGATGGAGGCTGAAGAGGAGACTCCAGCAGTCTGGGCTGCTGCAGGGGGGCTCAGAGAGATGTGAAAATGAGTGCCAGGAGCCTTGGCAATGCCCCCTGCCTGAGGAAGCTGTGCTGAGACTAAAGACAGCACTCAGAAGTAGTCCAGTGTGATGAGCGAGAGCCTTGAACCTTCATCTTGATGGAGGAGCATAAAACGTGATAGACTCATTGAAAACAACACATCCCACGTGCAACAGAAATAAGTGGTGACAGTACATGTCTATGTGTAAAGTCCCAAAGGATTTCTGCAGTCAACAAGGAAACAGAGTGGTTATAATAAATCTGTAACCATGCCCACCTTGCTTCTCCTGTAGGAACAGCAGTGTTTGCATGTGCAACTGCAGGACCGGTTATTTCCAGGTTACTAAATGTGTAACTGTACGTAAACCCACTGGTATATGTCCTGTGGATGCTTCTGCTCACAAACTGAATCTGCCCTCAGTTCCAGATGGTTTTAACTTCAGTGCTTTAGCCTTTATTGAGATGACGATTCATTTTCCTTTGACAAGCATTTTTTAGCTCTCCTCGTGTGCCATGTCCCCATCTCCTCTGAATAAACCCAAGCTCTTTGAAGGCAAGGAAGTCTCATCGTGCATCAATGCCCAAAGGACAGGGAGTTTTCCAATCCTGCAACAGAAAAGCTTTCTCATACTCTAGTTCTATTTCTACAGCATCACTGTTCAATGTTAAGCACAGCTGACATTAAACCAGTACTTTGTGAAAGCTTTTTGCTTCCATTTTCTCTTTAGTTCAAGATGCAAACTGGTATCCACATCAAACATGCAGCCTGTATCATAGCTGGTGAATGTGATGTGGGACCAGGGCCAAGCTATTGGTGGTTTTATGTGCAAGGAGGTTGATGGTACCCCAGTAAAATAGCCAGAAGCTGCCTCATTTACTTCCCACTGGAAAAGCTCATTTACCCATCCCCTATGAACCAAGATCGAGGGCAAACCATACTTTAAAGGCCACCTTTTATGTCTATTTTAGCAACTGGTTAGTGTCAGTGGGATATATCTGGTTTTAGGATTAGGGTCTCACGTGCTGAGTACACTTACACCATCACTGTGCACATCACCAGTGCTGTCCTGTGCTGGCTTTGGCCTGGCCAAACCTGCTTCTTCAGAAACGTCTGTGTCTTTGCCCTGCGGAGGGAGCAAAAAGGCATTATGAGAAGAGGCAGAATGCCTGCTCACCCAGAAGTCTCTGAACACAGTCTGAGAGCTGTGCTCAGCCAAACTTGTAACAGACAAAGGCTGTCCTGAGAGACAAGGGGGGAAGAACTGAGCCAGAGCTTTGCGGAGCCCAGTCAGGGTCATCTCAGGGTAGTTAAGTTCTTCCCTGAGCAAAGAACTATGAAAATGCATAAAAGTATGTGAGGAACAGTTCTATATGTGAGGAGGAGCTCTAGAAAAGCCTCAAGGGTGCCCTCTCCTCGCTTACTAAGGGTGTGTAATTCAGGCAGCGTCTCTGAGGACATGACTAATGCTGAAGACACAGATTTGGTCTTTATTTCTTAGCAGGCAGTAGATGTTAGAGCAGGGGAAGCGTTCCACATGGACTCAAAGTGCAGCCACAGCCCTGATTTCAAGCCTTCCGATCACTGAGGTGGAGAGAAGCCCTCAGACACTGTCCATTTGCCTGTAGTCACAACAAGGGGAAGCACAACACGCAGGGACCCACCTGGGAAATACAAACATGCAGAAGGAAAATGTGCATCAGGCGCTGGGGCTCGAGTACACCAGGGCTCTGTTGGGGAAGTCAGCCCTTCTGTCTCACACATCACCCTCGTACCAGTGGTTCAGAGCCTCCTAACGCTGTGGGATCAGTCCAGAGGCGTTTAATAGGATGCCCAACTGTGGCAAAGCCAGCAATGCTTTGGAAGTGACTCCCTTTGAGGATGGCAGATGGTGCCAAGGCAAATACCAAGGTGCCTGACACAGCCTGCGCCCTGAAAACCATTCTCTGGCCTATTACACTGCTTTACAACAGCAAGCTGCTACACTATATTGCAGTGACTACTCATTTGCAATAAACAGAGGCTGTGTTTTACTTTTACTTTACCCTCTGGTAAAAAACAACACAAAATGGCCAATAAAAGCCCTTCAGCTGGAAAATAAAGGATGTAACTGAAACAGAAGGGAATGAGAATGGGAGGGAACTAAAGATTCAGGGAATTGATGCTCAAAGAATTGGGGGAAGGGATTTTGTGTGACCCCCCCCCAGTGCTATTTAAGTTGAGCTTGAGGTCTAGAAGGTACTTGGGATGTTTTCTCTTGTGTTCTGTTTGTGCTTTTCTGCTCTAGGCTGGTAAGTAGCTATGTGAACATAAGGTCTTTTGTTTGTTGGTTTCAATAAGTTAATGATGCTGCCAGAACAAATGTGTTGGGAAAATGGGTAAATTTGAAGAGGCTGGGATCATCCTGTGGTTTTTAGCTCACTTTGGCTCCTGAAGTGGTTGTATTTGTGGTAGTATCCAAATGCTGGCAGCGTTATTCAAAACTGAGGCTTCTTCTAATGAAAGTACACTCATGGGTTTAACTTTCCATTGAGCATTCTGGTGTGGACTTGTGTGTTGAGAAGGTTCCATGGTCTGACACTGACTTTTTCTGTACCAGCCCTGGAAGGTAAAACAAGCCCATGTG